ATTTTGTAAAGAAAATAAAAACAAGAGCGTCAGAAAGCATTTGTCTCTGCTTTATCTTTGGAATCCCTGTTTCTTGAGTAGTTTTTGGCAAAGCCATTTACATGAGTTTAAAGATCCATTGGTCCTTAGCTTCTCAGGTTCATAATTATAAGTCCTCATTTGGCTCTGTGACTTTACATCATGGGTTAGACCAGAAGTACTTCTAGAAAGCAGTCTAGCCATGATGTTGGGGCCCTAGGGAAACTTCTTTTTTTTCTATTGGTCCTTTACCACTCTGGGATGCCTGACTCCTCACCTTGCAAACTGTAAGTGCATATTGCTCTGGGCCATCCATTAAGCCAGCTGCTCCAAGAAGGGATCCAAGAAGGTCTGTGCAGTTTTCCTGATGGCTATTTCACTCACCGTCCCTCATGAGTACTCTAGTATTTTTGTTGCTACATGACATATCTGCAAGAATGGAAAAGCTATTTAAATACTGTCCCCTTTACTAACCATATAAATACATATCTATGTGAAGCCAGGTTTTCCTCACATACTTCACCACCCTCAACAACAAAAGCCATATAAAAGTCATTGATTGACACAAAATCAGAGAGGAGAATAAGGTCTCTTCTACTAAGTCAAACATTAAGGAGATTTGTGAAAATATAAATTAATAAATATTAGTAATCTTTATTATTATAAGTAGTAAAATTATAAATAGTAAATATAAAAAACTTCATGTAAATGCTGTTTGTTATTATTTTAAATAAGCTAATAAATATTTTTTTTAATTCTCAACTTCTTTTTTAATATGATTAATATTGATATACATAGTCCACATAAACAAAAGCTCTTTGGTCTCCTAGTAATTTTTAGAGCTGCAAAGGGTCTTAAAATCAAGAAGCTTGAGAGTTGCTACATTAAGCCATAAGCCAATGTCTATCTGCTGGTTGCTGCAATCTGAACTATAAAGAAGATGTTACAGATATATCACTTGGCCCAAAAGAGTTAATTACAGTTAGGAGTTCTTTTTCAGAACCTCTGCTTCCTACTTTCCCTTCCTCGTGGTAAAACACATGCCATCTTAGGTAATTATAGCATGCATAAAGAGGGGATGTTGATCAGGTTTGTGCTCTGGAAGGCTGACTTCATGCTGTGTTTGGTTGGGGGCCCAGGTGTACAGTACCCACTGTTACCTGTCAGGAACATTCTCTGAATCACTTATATTTTTAATTAAAGTTGTCCTGTAAATAGCTTATTTTCCTTTCCTTTGGAACTTTCAAGTCTGTAGAAATCAGGAACCATCAGGCATGATTCAGGACTTCTAGCCAGATGAGGTAAATGAAAGTGAGGGCTTGAAATTGAGCTTCAAGGATTAAATAATACCACTACTCAAGATGAATGTGTTGTCCTTCCAGGAAAGGGAAGACTCTTTTTAAGCACCTGTAAGGTATTTTTTTCTCCTGTAGTGGTGTTTTCCCTTTGTTCTTTTCTTAAGTGGAGTTAATCATTCCTTGTGAAAGGAAAAGAAAGACAAATATTGAAGACATTTTTCATAGAGCCTCAACACTCTGTTGGGGCCACCGAGGGCACAGGGATGTGATTACTTGCTCTTGACACACATGGTCTTTTAAATCCCATTACTCCTTTGGACTTTGAAAATTATTTTTCTACTAGAAACTCAGTTATACACCCCAAAACAATAGAGAAGTTTTAGATGAAAATGCATTCTCTGCCTCTTTTGAGGCAGTAAGAAAGGGGGGCGGTAAAATTAAATCAGGCAAAACTAATTACACTTGAAAACTGCTATTTACTGTTGTATTTGACTTGAGCCAGGGAGACTGTGAGGACATCAATTTTATTCTTTTCAGTAAAAGCACATTCCAACTAACCTGGTTTGGTTGTAGAGATGTTTTGAAGATCTAATAGAAGCAGATTTTTTTTTCAGGCACATCTTTATGTGCCATAGCTGCTGAAGTGAATGGTAACAAGGACCCTCAGGTATGACAGGTGTCCAGTCCTTCTAATTCCAGGTCTGGGTGCCTCTCCTGGCTGCTTCACCAGCACCTTGTGCTTCTCCTTCCTGACGCTGACAAGCTTAGCTGTGATGCCTCCTTGTTGTGAAACCCTCTTGCTTGTCTATGAGGACAGGGATGTGTCTGTGCGGTACCCTATGGTGTTTCCACTTGTATGTAGCACATGAAGCGTGCTCACCAAGTACCTATTGAGATGGCAGATGCGTGGATGGATGAATATCCAAAAGTGTAACTTTTGAGCAATTAGTTTTGAGCCATCCTTGTTTATTTTCAGAAATCCTGCTTTTATTCAGGGGTCACCAATTCCTTGTATGTCCACTTAGAACCTAGATTCTATGCTCTGTCGCCAGGTAACTATGAGACTTTAGCTAAGAATTTTAATCTCTGAGTACCCTTTGGTTTAAAATTGTGGTAAACTTGTGTCCATTAATGTTCTTGCCATTTCTGATCTGTGCTCTCACTTTTTTGTTGTTGTTTGCTGCAAATCTTATCCATTCTAATTTTAATCATTAGTTGTGAAATTTGTATTTTATCATGTTACTGCATCCTGTAAAATTGTCATGTAAGATTGAAAATATGATCCTTTAAAAATAAAGATGGCGGTTTCAAACCCTAACACCGATCAAATAGTAAAATAGGCAAATCAAGATTTTCAGTTTGGATTATCCGAGGTATTTTTCTCTGTTTGCTGCTAAGTAAGATATTAAGTGTTCCTTGACTTCTGTACTAGAAGGTGATTAAGAAAAATTGAAAGAAAATACACCTGAGTTAGTTCATTATTTCTCATACAGAGTTATTTGCACAGGAACTTGTAATTGTTGGCTAAGATGCCTCTTGGAAATGGTTGTGATGTCTGATATGCTGCAGTAACAACTCTAGGGTACCAAACTCAAGAGCATCTTGTGCTTATCTCATTAGTCAACTGATCACATTGCATTGTGTTTGTTAGTTCATTGGTCTTTGAGTAGAACTACTATGTTGTCATCATCTCTGTGTCTTAGGCATCTATCTCCTAACCCTGTAAGTGGAAAAACCAGCCAGCACTAGTAAAACTTCTAGTGATCAGACTAAGAATAATAACTACATGTAAACAAAGGGCTGAATATGTAGTACACATTGTTCTGAGTGTTTCACATGTTTTGACCCATTTAATTTTCACAACCATGTGAGAGAGGTTCTATTGTTATTCCTGTTTTACATTTAATGCAGAGAGAGGGAGTAAAGTCTCACAGGGGTAAATAATAGGGACAGGATGCTACTCCATTGTACTCAAGTACCAAGGGCCCAATTCTTAATTACTGAGATTGTAGCTAACCTATGTTGAATGGATGGATAAGTGAATGAATACCCAGTGCTACTTTCTAAATATCAATTTTATTGGAGTTTTATGTAATTTACATTCTGCCTATCATCTTTTTATAGACACACACACACACTGGGTTGTCAGCCACTCCATGGATAATATCTTTTAATTCTTCCCTTTTTCAGTAGATTGAATGGAAATACTTTGAGATTTTCATTGGTGGGGGGCTGGGGTTGTGGCTCAGTGGTAGAGCATTTGCCTTTCACATGTGAGACCCTGGGTTCCATTCTCAGCACCACATAAAAATAAATAAACAAAATAAAGATATTGTGCCCATGTGTAACTACAAAAAAATTTAAAAAAAGATTTTCATTCATCTTTAACTTTTTTGAGTTTGGTAATTTGTTGAGTTTGGCAGTAAAAAAGAACATATTTTTAAAAGCCTGAGTCCCCACTTTTGTCAAAGAGATATCTCACCTTTTCCTTAATGGTATTTAAATATGTGAATTCAAGCAGATGGCATTGGTCATTCTATAGAGGACAAAGTTTCTATTACCTTTCTAGGTTAAATCAAATCTGAGTCCTGACCTGTTGCAGCATTTGGTATGAATATCTAACATTTTTATTCATAGACTTAAGGTGCCACGTCTGAGAAACCTGTGCTTCACCTTCCCTTTCCTGGCTGAGGGCTCAGGAGTAGTAACTTACAGTAGTTTGGGAAAATGTTCATGTAGAGAACATCTTAAGGAAACAGTTGTTCTGTGCTTTATTCTGCATCATTTCCTTTTACCTGTACTAGGAAATCAAATTGTTTCTTGGTGGATAATTCATAGAACATCAGGTTAATTAGATTTTAACTACTGTATTGTAAAAGAAAGTGTGATCTCTGATGGTTGTGAAAGATGTGCCTAAAAGTTAATTCATGACTATTAAAGCATGTTAGGGTGATCTTTAGATGAATAGAACATGAGGGCAATTAGAAAATTGTCCATTGGAAGTGTGGCCAGTAGCCCCACTTCCCCACCCAGGCTGGAGGGATGCTCTTGAGTAGACATACTACTCTAGGAGGGAACAGCTCAGAGATTTAAAAAAAAAAAAAAAAAAAAGCACAGGTTTAATAAGGGGAGTAGCAAGTAGTTTGGTAAACCATAGAAATATTGGAAGGAAAGAAAGGATGAGGCCAAGCCCTCCCCATAACCTGCAACAGTCTCCCCTTCCTTCTTCCCTTAAAAAACTTCCCAGTACACACCTTATAATATAGATCCTTTAAAAAAAATAGTGCTGTCTATTCAAATGCCTCTCAGCCAGATCCCCACTTCTAAGCACATTCATAGTTTACTAAGAATTACAGAGGTGAAGAACATCTCTTTCAAACAGTAGTTTTCAAGCCTTTTCCACAGTCCACTTAGATGTTCCATAGTATTAAACATCACCTTGTTTGCCCTAAAGGAACTAAGCACAGATCTGTATTGTAGGTACTTGTGCATAGTTAGTAATTCACCTTAATTCAGGCAGAGTTCATAATGTTTTATCTTAGTGTTTATCGTACAGTAGGTGCTCAGTAAATTTGTTCTGCTTTCTCCACTCACAATACTCAGTTTGCTATCATGTTTAAAGCACTTTTTCATGTTTTGTTTTGTTTTTGTTTTTGTTTTTGTTTTTTTGTCCCTTTTTTAAAGGAAAGATTTAAGGAAGCTGAAGAAATATACCAGGCAGGAATAAAGAACTGTCCAGACAGCTCAGATTTACACAACAACTATGGAGTTTTCTTAGTTGATTCTGGTAAGTGAAATTAAAAGAGAACCTTCTGTGTGGAGATTAGATAATACTGTCTATCAAGCAAAAGGGGGTAACCCAAACAATCCCTCAGAAATAAAATCCAGTGTCTTGGCAGGAAGCTCGCTGTGCTGCCAGTCACATTGTACCTGGGGGCTGTCATGTCAGTCTTCAGGCTCAGCTTAGTAAACTCTGCCCCTTCTTATAATCATGTCTCTGAGGAAAACTCCTCAGGTGGCAGAAAGTATCCTCCAGGAGTTAATGAGGCTCAGCTTTCTTTGGGTATCATTTGTACAAGTTTATAAATCTATGATGATGAAATGCTCCTCCACAGTGATACAGTACCCATCTCTGGATCAAGTTACCAGCAGATGGTAGATTCTTTTGTATAATTGATTTAAAAAAAAAAAGCCTTCAGAATTGTTTCATTGTTCCCTCCTTGATATGTTTTACAGAAAGTACATTATTATAATTGATGCAGTATTCTCCTATGACAGGTACAAAATAAAATATACTTATTTAATACAAAGGGTTATGGGCAGGAATTCTATTTTATGATTTGTGCCGAGCCCCATATACTATTGGCATGTAATGAATACTTACAAGTCATGAAATGATATTTGAATTGAATGCAAAAATACCACTTTGTTCTTGTTGACTGCTAGACTGGATGCCCTGCGGTAAAATTCACTCTTAATTATTTTTTCCCAATATGAAATGCTTGAAAGGTTTTTATTTTTCCAGGATATGTGAAGCTCTTCTGTTTTACAGAATATAAGTTTACATTCTTATGTATCTAGGAAACTTAACCTTATTTTTGCATGTAAAATTGTTGTAGAGTGCCACCTGCTGGTTCATTAGCCACATGATAAATTGTCATAAGATGTAAAGATCCAAAGAGACCTCCTGTGGGCCTAATTTAACCCTCATCTTTTTATTTCAACAAGACAGAGTCACATCCAGTTTTAGTCAGCTTTTTCCTCCACTGTGACCAAACAACCAACAAGAACAATTTATTTTAGAGGAGGAAAAGTTTTGGGGGTGCTCATGGTTTCAGAGGTCTCAGTCCATAGATGGCCAGCTCCATTGCTGTGCCTGAGATGACGCAGAACACCGTGGCAGAAAAGTGTGGTAGAGGAAAGCAGCTTAGGATGTGGCGCCAGGAAGCAAAGGAGAGCTCCACTCACCACAGACAAAACGTGTACCCCAGAGTACACACCCCCAGTGACCCATTTCCTGCAGCCCTACCCTAACTGCCTACCATTACCACCTGGTTAATCCATATCAGCAGGTTAATGCCCTGATTAGGTTAAGGCTCTCCTAACCCAGTCATTTCACCTCAATTTTCTTGCCTTTTTTCACATGAGATATGGGTGGACACCTCAAATCCAAACCATAACATACTCTACATATCCTGTAAATGACAATGACAATTCACAGGTCTCTCTATGACGTGGTATGTTTTGGATCATCCTAGTCAAACTTGTATTCAAAGAGGGTGTATGTGAGAAAATTTCCTTGCAGATAATAAAGATTCCTTTCCCATTTAGAAAGTTAGGGTATTCTGAAGTTCATTCATTTAGCTGGTTTCACTAGGCAGCTTCTTGGGGGAACCTTCTCAGACCAGAGATGTTTGATTCTCATTCTGGCCTTTTTTCTTGCTTGCCATGGGATCTTTGTCAAGTCTCTTATGTCTTTGCACTTTAATGCCTATATCTGTAAGATACATCCGTATATCTGTAAATATATCTTTATATCTGTAAAGTGGTCCTTTTGTTTTTGTTTTAAATATTTTTTTAAATCCCAAGACACAGCTAAATTATATCAAAAGGCAGCTAAACAGTATCCAAAACACCTGCAAGATCATATAACTGGAAGTATACTGAAATATATAAATAATAAATTTTATAATGCCTCAAATAAATGCAAATTGGCATTATTATTATGTTTAAAGTCACATTAAACAAATACCATTTAAATAAAATGTATGATTTAAAAAGAGATTTTCAAGATGGAGCTTATACATACAATGCCTCCTCAGTAACTGTCCTCAGTATAGTGATTTAGACAGACCCTTAGAAATTGCCTCAGGACAGTTTGCTTTCCATAATAGCCAAATCTAATTTTTGTACAACTGGATAAATAACAATCACTGATGATCTCAAAACCTCATATGAACAAAGGTGGTGCCCAGAAACACTTTGACTAATGTAATATATATATATATAGTAAACACTTTGACTACTGTAGTATACATAGGTACATTCGTTTTGCTACCTTTTATTACTAATTTTTTGAAAGTGTGAATGAAAAGGGAAATGGTCCAAAGTTAAGGAGAAGCCAAAAGGTAAGCTAAAATACAGATTGGATCATTGTTGGTCTGACTGTAATACTGAGGAAGAATTAGTCGAAAAAGAAGCTGAACTCCTGTATCTCACAATTGAGACATGTTCTGCTCTTACCAAACCGTCATTGGTTGCAGGCTCTCCAGAGAAAGCAGTGGCCCATTACCAACAGGCCATTAGACTCAGCCCAAGTCATCACGTGGCCATGGTGAACCTGGGCAGACTCTACCGGTCACTGGGGGAGAACAGCATGGCCGAAGAATGGTACAAACGGTACAGTTCCTTTTCCTTGCTTTCACGTTGCCAGAGACCTCAGCAATTGCCACCAACTTTGTAATTCATTGGAACAAACAGGCTTTTAGAAGACTGGCAGATTTTGCCAGTTCAGGTGATACAGATTCTTATTTCCAAAGAGAATAGTTCAGCAATAAAAAAAAAAAAAAAAATGGTATCCTTAGAGACTTTTCTTCTTACTGGTTAGGTCATGACACTTAGCCAGGGTTTGAATTTAATTTCCACTACAGTTAATCCCTAGAGTGCAACCTAAACCACACATATCAATTTCATGATGGGAATAAAAGAAAGACTACATAAACATCAGAATAAGAACAGACCTATCTGTCAACAGCAAGGGAAAAGACGTTTGGGACTCGGTTGCCATGTTGGCAGGTCACCAGATACATCTTTATATTCAGAGAGTGTCTTTATTATCCTTTTTTTTTTTAATCTTAATCATCTCAAACCTTGGACAGTCCTCCCTAAATCTAAGTTTAGGCCTTCAGAAATGTGCCTGTTAGAAGGAAAGTGTCAATTTGCCTTTCTCCAAACTCAGTGCCCTGCAGGTGGCACGCAAAGCTGAGATATTGTCGCCTCTGGGAGCACTGTATTACAACACTGGCCGCTATGAAGAGGCTTTGCAGATTTACCGGGAAGCTGCAGCACTTCAGCCTTCACAGAGGGAGCTCCGCCTGGCACTGGTGAGCAGGAGGAGGAGGGCACATGAAGCTGGGAACCCAAGCACAGTGTGCATCAGGGCACGCTGTAGTCACCAGGCCACAGAACTGGAGCCCATTGCATGAGTCTTCATAGAATCAGGGTCACTATCACTCACAAAAGACAGGGGCACCAAAAATATTTGGTGTTTTTGCTTCAAAATACCCTTAGACTTACAAAATAGTTGTAAGGATGCAGATATAGCTTGGTAGCAGCGATTTGTCTAGCATGTATAATGCCCTGGGTTCCATCAGAGCCATCATAAAATAAAAAAGTTATAAAAATAGCTTAAAAATTCCCATGGACCTATTCACCCAGCTCAATCCATTTTTAACAGTTAAGTATGCATGTGTGTATATACATAGGTGTGAACCTATGTATATTTAGATGTTTATGAATGTTATTGTAGTATTATTAGTACATGGTATAATTTTTCAGACCCATGTTGGTTAGTGATAGATATCAAACCCCTTTATTTCTAGGTACTTTTGCATAAAGTTCCTAAGAACAAGAACCTTTTCCAACGTAACTGTAGTATAGCCACCAAACTCAGGAAAAATAACATGAATATCAATATTTTTATTCAGAATTTCATTCTTCCTTAGATGTACTATGTCAAACTTGTTATTACAAACAAATTATTAAAAACAGATTGTTGGAATCAGGAAATTATTCATCTTCAGACATATTCACTCAATATTTTGTAAGAGGCACCTGCCATTTCATTGGGTATCTTTGACATTTCTGTGATTCAGACACAAATACATGCACATACCTAAATAAATAAAGGAACAAAGAAACACAAAAACTAAAACCTATAAGCTGGTAGTTCAGCCTTCTCTGTGAGTCACTAAATAGATGCTGAGCATTTCTGTCAAGATTGTTTTCTGAATGCTTCCATTTGGGGTTAACCAAGTATCTTCTAAGCCAAGGTTCATGTGGGTTTGCAGGCTCAGGTTTTGGCTGTAATGGGTCAGACGAAAGAAGCTGAGAAGATGACCAGTCACATTGTGTCAGAGGAGACTGGATGCCTCGAATGTTACCGCCTCTTGTCAGCGATCTATAGCAAGCAGGAGCACCATGACAAGGTAGAGAAGGTCACTGCTGAGAGTTGGTTGGACTCGAGTAGAAAGTGTGTTCACCTGAATGATTCTCCAGTTTACACATTTATAAAGCCAAGAAGTCTTGAACATCACCAGCGGGCCTGTCCTAGCTCATGCAAGCTTTTCACGGATATCCTTTAACTCCTAAGATGTCCCTTTGAAATACTATATTCTTGGGTCCTCCTTATTCTAAATATATTGTGTGCTCTTATCTCTGCTTTTAGCTAGTTCTGAAAGCCTAACATTTGTATACTTTGTCATTTTCCATGCTTCTTCTAATACAGTTTTATGCAATCTTCTTAATGACCCTAGAAGGCAGGGCAGTGTTGCAAATGTTCCTGTTTATTTTCATTTTAAAAGGAAATTCTTGAGCTGACTCAATAAAATATTTGTTGAGTGCTCACTATGTGCCAGACACTGTGGTAGGCTCAACCAAAAAATGGTATGAAGAAAAACAAAAGATCACTGCCTTATCCTCATGGAACTAACAGTAGAAGACAGAAATTAAACAAGTACACAAAACAAACCTGGTTATAACTCAGCTCAGTGATATCATAAAGAGATAGGGTGTCCCAAAGAACATATCATAGGGTCTCCTTACTATATACACTTGTCTAGGGGGTAAGTAGGTTAGGGTTGGCTGATAAGTAGCAGTTATTAAGCAAAATGAGAAGAGGGGGGGCGGGAATTGTGGTGGGAACAGCACATGCACAGCAACAAGGAGCCTGGCTGAGAAATGGGCCTGAGAGAGCAGGGGCGCAGCATGAGATACAAATAGGTTGCTGGAACTAGACCCCTGGGGCAGGGCTCATGGCTTCATTTCTCATCCTGGGGAAGCTTTGGGGATTTGAGGAGAAAAGCAGTTTGATCAGATGTGTGTGTTAAAGGGTATCTGCTGCAGAGGAGCTGTGGTGCTGGGGCTGAGAGGACCAGAGAGGAGGCTGTTGAAAGGTCCAGACAGACATGTGGTCGGGGCAAACATCTGACCCCAGATCTTGCTTCCTTTCAGCTGTATTGCACAACTTCCCTGTAAACCAGTTGTCACTGGTTTATAAATGGGAAACCTGAGGAATAAAGATGTTATTTTTGTTACGGTCATTAAACCTCAATGAGAAGATCAGGGAGAATGGAGAATGTATTTTGATTGTTGTACACCCATGAGCCAACACACCTGAACAAAGAGTTTTATGCATTTTATCATTCAAGTAAGATTTCCTTTATCCAATTCTGCCCTTTATTTCCCATCTGTGTAGGCACTCGATGCTATAGACAAGGCTCTCCAACTGAAACCAAAGGACCCAAAAGTTGTATCTGAACTTTTTTTCACAAAAGGAAACCAACTAAGAGAGCAGAACCTTCTTGACAAAGCTTTTGAGGTAAAAACACCTAAAGATATGGTATTAAATTTACAGATTAAAATGAATACTCCTGTAGTATCTAATGAAGATTCTGCAGAAGACACAAATGAACATCAGTAGAAGTTTTACTGATGTTATTTACTGAAATACCATACTTTTTTTTCCTTGTGTCCAGCCACCAGTTAGATTAATAAGGTTGCAAAACTTATACCCAGGTATATTGTGGAGAAAATCTCAAATGATGTAATGGTGTTGAAAAATAAACACATGAGTGTTTATTTTTTTAAATATTATTGAAAACATGTAAAGATATGTGAACTAATGTGAATGCGAACCCTTAAGATAGAAATGGTGGCATTTTTCTCTGAAACATTGCAAGCATTTTTCTCAGAAATTGTGGGTTTTCTTTGCCTTTTGAATGCTTCTAGTACCTTCCTTCCTAATTTATTTGTAATTAATGTGATAATATTGTTATTGGTAATTTGACTACAGATATTTATATTGTACAGTAATTTATGAGTATTTAAACTATTTATCTGTATCTTAATTACATAGTACTGAAAGCAAAGGTAATTTCATAGTTGTTTTTCCAGTGGCTCAGATAGTCATTATCTGGAGTGGTTAGATTCAAAGAAGTGTGGCAGTAGGTTCAAAACCAACAGTAGTTAATTAGGATATCTGTGTATGATTCACTTGTATGAAGTCACAACTGTCACATTGTATAAGAAAAACAGAGCAATTGTCACCACTTTATACTTTTGTAAACTGAGACTTATAGGTCATATAACTTGATTAAGGTCACACTGGTATAAGAGATGGAGCCATGGTTTGAATCTAGCTCTTAACTTCTATACTACACTCCCATTTCTGCTGATACAAATTAACCCAAGAGACATGCCTTTAGGTTTATTTTAGTGGCTTTTTAAAAATATAATTTCTCATCATTTACTTATTTCTCCTAAAACTGATGTAGAGAAAAATTGACTATATTTTATTTAATGGACTTGTTTCTCTCTAATAAAAATACCAAACAGCTTTAAAATACACAGAGATCCTTAGGTTTGTAAAGTCTCTGCCTTATTTAAGGTGAGTACTTCAAAAGTTAGGATTTCATGGTGAGCATACTTCTGATGTAAAACAATTCATATAATGTAAAAATAGACCTCACTGGTACTGCATTTTACAGAATGTATAATATTCAGACAAAAGAACATGCTTAAGAGATAATTCTTTTGGAACATTTGAAGACTGTTCATATGATAGAATAAAAACAAAATTGCTTTTTAAAACTATCTACTAGTAAAATAGATGCAATAACATCTGTTTTAAGAATTTAAGCACAGGCTGGATAGGGAGGTCAGTGATGTTATAGAAGGGAGTGCTACACTGGAATTAAGCTGTTTAGGAAACTCTTCTAAGATTTGCTGACATTTATTTTTTATTTATTTATTTATTTTTTTTTTTTTTTTGGTGCTAGGTGTTGAACCATAGCTACATGCATGCTAAGCAAATGCTGTACCATGGAGCTACATTCCCAGCCCCCAGATCAGATTCTATGATTTTTGAAAAAGCTTTTTCTTTCCAACTGCATTATCATTAATGAAGCCAAGAGTACAGTTTTCTTGCAGGTCAAGGCCAGTGGGAAGTGGTGTGCTATTATAGAAATCATCCGGATTCCCTGTACTCATCCTCAGTCTCTTTAAGAGCACATATTAGCTCTGCTGGGAAATTACACATTTCAGTTTCCTTCACTTTATAATCATCAATTTTGAAAAATAGCATAAATGAATGGGGACTCTCCTGAACCAGGAGTGGTGACTAGATTCATTCTATTAACCATTTAAATTTTCACTTTCAATCCTGTAGTATTGAAGGTGGGATCTCATTTCCTAACCTGATATTTCTTATTTATTTAGAGCTATAAGGCAGCCGTGGCACTAAATCCAGATCAAGCACAGGCCTGGATGAACATGGGTGGAATTCAGCACATCAAGGTAGGAGAATAATTCACTTCACGGGTCCGGGCTTTCCATTTCTGTTTCAGCATTCAGTCTCTTCTCTCTAAGGGATGTAGAAACCGTTAATTTCCTCTTAGAAATCATTTGAAGACCAAAAACATAGGTGTTTAAAAGTGAAAATCACTTTCACTTCATATCTTATAAATACTAAATATCATGAATTTTTAACATATATATAATGTGTAGGTTAGATTTCATTTTGCTAATCATAGAAAACCATATATATGTATAAGTGTCATTAGACAGTAGTTAGAATCGTCTCTGTGAACTGAATCCCCATTGAGGCCTAGTGTGGCTTAAATTTTTTTATTAACTCTGCATTAACATTAAAGTTCAAGACTTTAAATACTATTAAAGACTTTAAATACTACTTTCCTGTGTCTTATATCTAAGGCATTGTTTGCTGCTTAAGCTTTTACTGAAAAACACGTTTATATGTTTTGTTTCACTTCTCTTTTTTTTTTTTTTAATTTTTATTTATTTATTTTTAGTCATACATGACAGTAGAATGTATTTTGACATATAATACATACATGGAATGTACATACATCAATCATATTGTCTATTCTATTCTGCTGCCCTTCCTATCCTCCCTACTCCTCCCTTCCTCTCCCCTCCTTTCTCTCTATCCAATCTAATGTGACACACTTTTTTTTTCTTTTTCTCATTACAACATCATATATGTATTCCGTATAACAATGAGGGTTCTCCTTGCATCTTCCTGAGCACAGCTGTCTTTAGCTTTCAAAATTCTTATTCTTGGACACCAAATAAGACTTGGACACCCACTTCCAAAAAAAAAAAAAAAAATCACCTCATCTCACTAGATTAGCTAAATTATTTTGCTAGAATATTATCACATGCAGTAAACTTACCATGCAAGTTAGTCACTGAGCTTATAAAAACAGATTATATATCTGTTACTATGCCAGTTCACTATCTATTTTTTTTTGTTTCGTTTTGTTTTGTTTTAATTTTTTATTGTTGGCTGTTCAAAACATTACATAGTTCTTAATATATCATATTTCACACTTTGATTCAAGTGGGTTATGAGCTCCCATTTTTACCCCATATACAGATTGCAGAATTACATCAGTTACACATCCATTGATTTACATACTGCCATACTAGTGTCTGTTGTGTTCTGCTGCCTTTCCTATCCTCTACTACCCCCCCTCCCCTCCCCTCCCCTCCCCTCTTCTCTCTCTGCCCCCTCTACTGACATTCATTTGTCCCCCTTGTATTATTTTTCCCTTTCCCCTCACTTCCTCTTGTATGTACTTTTGTATAACTCTGAGGGTCTCCTTCCACTTCCATGCAATTTCCCTTCTCTCTCCCTTTCCCTCCCACCTCTCATCCCTGTTTAATATTAATCTTCTTCTCATGCTCTTCGACCCTACTCTGTTCTTAGTTACTCTCCTTATATCAAAGAAGACATTTGGCATTTGTTTCTTAGGGATCGGCTAGCTTCACTTAGCATAATCTGCTCTAATGCCATCCATTTCCCTGCAAATTCTATGATTTTGTCATTTTTTAATGCAGAGTAATACTCCATTGTGTATAAATGCCACATTTTTTTTATCCATTCATCTATTGAAGGGCATCTAGGTTGGTTCCACAGTCTTGCTATTGTGAATTGTGCTGCTATGAACATCGATGTAGCAGTGTCCCTGTAGCATGCTCTTTTTAGGTCTTTAGGGAATAGACCGAGAAGGGGAATAGCTGGGTCAAATGGTGGTTCCATTCCCAGCTTTC